AGTTACAATGGCAAATCAAATCAATGTCCTCCATCTCCCAGGCTAACAACAATGACAGGGCTAGGAATCCCATTAAAATTGAGGGAACAAATGAGACAGACCTGCCCAATGCTTTTAAACACCTCAACCCTTAGAGAGTCTCTTTCCCCTATCTCAGACATAGTCATTGAACAGGATGATGTTAGGAATCTCTTAATACGAGTCAATATTAGGAAGGCCCCAGGTCCAGACCATATTTGTGGGCGTACACTCCAGTATTGTGCTAGCGAACTCTGTNTGGCACAGTTTTGTACATATTGTAGTCTCTGGGTGGTTTTTGCTGGAATGCCCGCAAGCAGAGAATTGCAGTAATCAATGCGGGAGGTGATGAAGGCATGGACCAGTTTTTCTGCATCCGGTTTGGTGAGGGAGTGTCGCATTTTGGAGATGTTTCTCAGGCGGTAGTATGAGGCTTGGCAGACCGTCTTTATGTGTGCTTGGAATGAAAGGGATGAGTCCAGTTTCACACCAAGGCTCGTTATAAGTGGGGAGAGGGGAATGGAGTGGCCATTGATGCTGATATGAGTCGTTTGTGTTTGATGTGGTGTTCCAATCAGAATGGCCTCTGATTTGCTGCTATTCAGTTGGAGGGAGTTGTTGCTCAAGCGACAACACACGCCGCCGTGTGTAGGAGCCGTAACCCTAACGGCCCTTTCCACACAGCGGCGTGCGTTGAAGCTTGCCGGCGGGCGTGTCTGAAACTCGACCAACAACCAATCACATGAATCTCCCGCCCGTGACACACAAGCAGCGGTTTGATTGGCTAGAGCTTGTACTGGCATATGATTCGATTGGCTGACGCTTCTGCCGAGGCTTCAAAAGTTAAACATTGCTCAACTTTTGCAGCGAGCCACGCCAGCAGAGCTCTGCTTCGCTTCCCACAATGCAGTTCGGCAAAAAGTGACGTCACCCCATTCAAAGTGAATGGTGAAGCTTTCAACGTACGCCGCTGTGTGGACGGGCCATGACCCTAACCCTGACCGTGATCGAAACAGTAGAACAGAGGCTCAGTGTTGAACTACAAAGCAACACGGTCTTCAGTATGAACACAATTAGGGTTTGAACGGTTTGTGATTTCATTCTCTCTGGAATATACAGTCCAACTATAATATGTTATTGTCCTCAAGTTAGTTGACAATTTAGCACTCACTTTCGCATTTGAATTGAAATACTCAGGGCATGTTTGTTAAATAGACTAATTGTTCTATTCTTTATTTACCATTACATTACTGTAATACTCACCCAGTATACTGTTAATTGAAACTATTAATATCTATTATTCAACTAGATGCAGCAAAAAGGGCATTATATCATGACTAATATAATAATAATAATAGATAAATAATAATAATGCATTTTATTTATTATAAGCGCTTTTCACAACTCAAAGACGCTTTACAATATGAGGGAGGGTAGACAAACAGGGACAGGCAACAGTACGTATAGTATATAAATACATCAAGGCACTTCAAGAGGAAGTTGATTGAGAGGTGGGGGGGCCTTTACTGGGTAGACAGAGTTGGTTGACAAGGATGTGTTTTGAGGGCAGGACTGGAAAGACTGTGAGGGACTCGAGTCAGGCGAGATGCTTGGGGGA